CAGCACTAAATCATTCTTTGTTTGTATAGCACCAATTCAAAACAAATATTATCTCAACACACTAGACAACAAGGGCAGGTCTAGACCGTACTCTTTGTTAAATTGAGTCTCTTCTGCTCCTGCTGCTGTGTGAAGGCTTAGTTTCATGTTGATTTTTATGAAAAAATTATGACACAAAGAATAAATAAAAGTCTTCTTATACCTGTTACACTATCTTTGGATTGACATGGATGTCATCACCTTGAGTGGAGATTGAGGGGTGCTGGTGGGGAATTGTGGGGGTTAATTTCCATTTAATTAACTTTTAGCTGAGGACAACATCTCCACCTTTTGTTAAAGATGACAGAGGTGCTCTGGCTTTGTGCATGACTGTCAGTCCTGTCTGGCTCTCTGACCTTGTCTCCGGTGGCAGAATGTCCGACCCTTTCCAACGGACAGCCACATGGGACATAAATGACATTCTTGACTTAAATGCTTGTCTGCAAACAAGATGACAATGCGCCTAACTGACTGTACCCACGTGTGCATTTTATATTGACATTCACAGACAAACTTTATGTACACACACACCAAGGAAGATCATCTAATATCAGAGAGCGTCAGTGGCGGAAATCCGATCGTCTGACAACCAGGATACAGATAGCGATTCCCCATCGCTGATCCATGCAACAGATAGTTTCCACAAACAGAACCCCGGCTAAGGTTACATTCGGCACTGGCCCACACCCCAATGCACTGCTCTGCCTCACATCAAGATAAAACAAAAGCTTAGGTTAGTGTTGATAGGAAATCAATAAGAAAAGGCAATGTTTGCTTTAGATTTTTGATGAAAACTGTGACAAGAGGAAATGAGAAAATATTTGCTTTTGCATGCAGTAATATCGGGCATATCAGTCCGCTTAGGTATTCTGTTTTTGTAATTTTCACTCCATGATAATATCATTGTTCGTCTCCTTTTTTAATTGAAGCTCATTAAATGTTTAACCCAAATGTCAGTGTGTTGATAGAGCGCTCCTAATTATTTAAAGAATACCACAGAAAGAAAAGTATCATCACTTTACATTTCCCTTGCCTCAACGTCCTAATAATTATTGGAATATGTATTTATATTAAAAAAGGAAGCAAAGAGATATGGCCCCCTTCACATCAATGTAATTACGAATCACAAAAAAAGTTTGATTCAAATAAAATAGGCCATTTGTACACAAGCAATTAACTGCTGTGGCTTTAAATAATGTAGCCCAGATGGAACCTAATTATAGTCGGCATGCTTTGATTCAGGCTTTATGTTGGAGTATCACTCGGGGCGTCACTTTGGCTTTTCAGTCACCTAGCGTTTGTTTTGAAATTTGTGACAATCAGAGGCGATTACCATTTGTAACAGCATGCAGTGTTTGGTGCAGAGGGAAGAAAGCATGGCCCATAGCTATGGAGGAGTTTCCTTGTTTCCTTTTAACAGCTCAAAACTCTCTCCCTGTTCCCTAACCTCACTGCACACAAATGATAACAACGGTGCTTGTGTGTTTAGGGGGAGGGTAAAGTGGGTTTGTGGTGCATGTGTGTGTGCCATCCATGAGTAGACAGTTGCTTGTGACTAACGTGTTTTTGTGTGTGTCAGTGTCTTGTACCAGTGTGGAGTCAGGGGGAGATCAAACAGTCAGTCAATTACCTTGAGAGGGCTCCAGTGGCAGTGACAGAGTGGAGGAGGCTAAATATCCAGGATCAAATACTCTCCTCTGCCTGTCACATAATGAGGAGGCCTCGCCGGGCGAGCACAACACACACTGACTGTTCAAACACGAGGGCGAGGGTTAGACGACGCACTGAAACTCTGCCATGACCTGAACACAGAGCAGAGCATCCACCACAGACCCTTTTTCTACCTGCTCTGTCCTGCTTTACAGTGATCATCATGGAGCTGTGTGTGTGTGTTTGTGTGTGTGTGTGTGTGTGTGTGTGTGTGTGTGTGTGTGTGTGTGTGTGTGTGTGTGTGTGTGTGTGTGTGTGTGTGTGTGTGTGTGTGTGTATATATGTGTTGCCTCACCTCAAGGTTACAGCGTCATCATTCCACTGTGAGGAAATAATCTCTGTTAAGCTCTCCATTGCTTCATGCTAATTATAAACACATTGTGAAAGTAGAGAGAATCTTTTTTTCTGTATTTCCCCCGACAATACCAGATGTTATGGAGCCCACTGTAACATCATTATTGCTTTTACAATAAATGAGGACATTATTGCATTTACAATAGACTTTATTGAATTAATGCAATTACATTGATCTTGTTAGAATTAGCAACTTAATTGATTTACAGTGAATGCAAGAAAGCAGGCGCAAATAAACACACACAGCACTTTATTTTGAAAAGCTGCATCAATTAAACCCAATATATGATGAAGACATTAGAGCCCTTTTAATGTAATATCATGTTTAAACAATACATGAAATCAATAGCTCATTAAAAAAATCTGCTTGTTACTTTAAAAAAAACTTTTCCTGTAAGGGACTAAAAGTGAGGATTAAGCTTCCTCATTGGCTGTTTATCGGTTCACTTAACACACCAGATACAGCCAGATGACACCTCATCGATCCCCACATCTTTTAAAGATATTACTTTGATTTGTGGCAGAGTTGAGGTAATTCTCGCTCTCCCACTCTCTCTCTCTCTCTCTCTGTCTCTCTCTCTCTTTCCCTGGGTCTTTTAGTTGCTCGTGAAGCCTGGTCATTGGGGTTTCTCCTCTAAATCATTACTCACATCTCAGCTTTGACAACATCCATTAGGTCGGACACACTTTGGCTATTAAAGGAAGAGTGGACGTAAGCTGTTAAAGGCCTATTTAAGCCAGTGAGGGAGCGGGTTTATGTCTCTATGTGTGGGAGTGTTGTCAAGAGAAGGGGGGGGGGGGCTCTCTACCATATAGAGGGGGTGGAGCTTCACATCAGAGTCATTGGAGGGGCACAGGCTCATCTGCATATTGGCACAGAGACGCCCCCCTGCTGACCCCGGACTGCGATGGAATAGGGTGGAGAGCCTGGCGGCGTTCCGTAGGAGTTCATCGCCAGTTCAGGGTGAATGAGAGAGCGCTGCGGCATTGATCGCTTTCTGCAGGAAGAGGAAAAAAAAGGACAAAACAGAAGTAAAAACACTAGTGAGGGTAAGACCGATGAGAAAGGGAAAACTGAGAAGGAGGAGGTGAAAAAAGATCACAGTGCCTCAAATTGGATATAAATGATATATTAGAGGTGTGAGAGGGCTGTGTCTTTGTTTCCCAAGGTTCGATGTTATGTTGAGCCCTAACACAGGTAGCACAGTCACTCAGAGTGCCGGGTTATTGACTCCCATGATTGCCAGGCCAGTAAATTTGACCCAAGGCACAGTCTGCTTGCTGTATAGTGTGCACAGCAGTCCCTTTTCTCAGAGCGAATGAGAACTCTCCTTCATACTGTGTGCACACAAATTACACAAACATACAAAAACAAAAAACAGCACCTACAACCAAACCCAAATACATCCCCAGCCAAAGCCCCTGCACACACCCCTGTTCCAACAATCATACACAAACACACACCATCTCCATTAACGCGTCCAGGCTGGGGTCAATCTAATAAACATCGGGTCAGTGCAGTGGTCATCAGAGGCCTGTCTGTGGTGAGAGAGCCTTTAAGGTGCTTCCTAATTGTGTCCCTGCGGCCTTCTAGTCCAGCTTTTTATAGCCTATCAAATGTACACAGAGGAGACGGGAGGAAGTGAGGAAGGAAGGAGGAAATCACTGAAGAGAAATGAATAGGAATTTCAGTGTACTTCTGATTTGACTCATCCAGTAGTAATGTGGATTTTAACCCTTTTCCTCAGATCCCAGATACTAAGCTTACCCAGAGAAAATGGCAGACACCTCATTTTATGTTCTTATCTTAAAGTAGAATGAGAAAGACAATGTTAAGAGAGGATAAGGATCAAAAAAAGGAACCCCATTACATGTTGGCTTGTCTTTTGACACAGTTAAAATGTTCTTAGATCCTTCTGGTGAGGGATGAAACTCTTAATATCATGTAATGGCAAACATATTCTCCCTCTGGTAAACCACCTCAATATGGCTCCTCAAGTCCAGTTACAGTTGTGTTGCTAAGCAGCTGAGCTGCTAGCAGAGGCAGGCCGGGACAAGCCATTATCTGTTAACGTTCTCGCTGAATGGTGTGCTAGCAGGAGAGGAGAAGTGTCGGGCACCAGCTGCAGCCTCGATCTGTCCTCATCATGGATGTTCTGATGGAGAGCTGAGGTGCTCTGTTGCAGGAAAGCATTAAAATTGCCTTTCAGTTTGCAAGCCATCCAACTAAAAAGCTGCCCGGTGATAACCTGAACCCTAAGGAACCTGAGGTGCAAGGACCAGATTTCAAGCTCCAGTGTGACCCCAAACTTGGGAACTGGCTAACCTGGAGGAGGTCAGAGAGAAATCCAGCACTGCTGCCTCCTCCCCCCCCACCACCACCACCGGACCACTTGATATGCTTGCTTGTTAGCTCTCTCCAACTTCTGTACTGCCTATCCTCAATCAGCTCTTTAGAATGAATGACTGCCGCTCCACTGGTTTCTCTTAGTGGCCCCATTGTGCATAACTCTGTTTCTGTAGGAGGACCTGAGGTGGAAGGGGGGGACATGCAGCGGTGTTGATTATCAGGTATCCGCTTAGATAACATATTGAGGCTGTCCCATTGGAGTAATAGGTCAGAGGCTTTCATGGCTCTCATACATGTGGCCAAGGCCTGCATGGAGCAATGCATTGTGGGTAGTGTATGGTGAACCTTACAGGTTTTAACATCTTACCCACTCACTTTTTTATTTTGTCACAGAAGTTATTCATTATGCAGAAATGTGTTTTTAATAATGTTAAGACTGTTCAACATACGGTACACTTTATTTTCCTGCAGCTTGACAGTAAGAACATTTTGTGAACCCTGCTCATGCCCATGTTTGTGTCCATTTTTGTGTCCCTTCTACTCATAGGCACAGAGAAGCATGAGCTGACCTCCTGGATGAGCTTCAACTCCATCTTCAGGTTCTTCAGCGAGGTCCTGGAGGTGAAGGAGGATGAAGAGGCTGAGGAGACATCCAATATTGTCACCACCCGCAGCAGCTCCCTCAAAAACAAACACCAGGATTTGTAGAACAGAAATGACTTGTATCAAGAGGGAGATTCAGTTAGAAATGGATTATAAGGGGGGGCAATGCAGAAAGGAAGATTCTGGATCTCTTCAGCATGTTTTCTGTTGGGTTTTTCACCTCCCTCTTCCTCTGTAACCTTCCTTTCTTCACTCTTCTCATTGCGGGTGTCATCTTTCCCGTCCTGTCCTCTCTGGCTCTGCACACAAATAGCCTTGTTGTTGTTGTAAGACACAGGAGTACAGGGTCACCATGTATACATCACAATAACGTTTTGCATTACTTCTAGATGAGTGCAACTGTCAAAGCAATATGGGCCTGAGTGTTAGCGCTTCCCGTGGGCTGTGGCCTAGCTGCGGGTACAGGCCACAGTAGCACAGATTAAGGCTGACAGGCGCTGTGCACAATGCGCCATGGTGCACCTCTAATTGTCCTGACATCCGCCTGAACTGAGCTAATGCCCTGCCTGCCCTCCAGTCTGCACTGCTCAGAGTCTCCCTCCTCTTCCTCTTCTTCCCCTCGGTCCTAAAGCCTGAGCTGCTTACCCTGAAATCAGCTCATCCTGTATGAAATCTTCAACTAAGGTACATTCGCATTTCAACCTGATCAGTTCCCTTTTTCTATTTTAAAACCTTTAAAAACATTTTTCAAAAGAGGTAACGCACTCTTAAATGATGATCGTTTCTTATGAATTAAAACGGATGTTTTTTATAACTTTTTTTTTTGTTCCCCTTTTCTGTGCATATGCAGCTTACTTTTAAAACCTGACTTTTCTTTGTTCTTTGTGTGAAATGTGGTTCTAACTCTTGCAATATATTCATATAGGACAGCACTGCTTATAAAGAGAAATATCTTTTTTTAATGTTCAAGCTTTAAGCTTAATTTGAATTCAGCATCTCACATACATTCAGACTATTTGATTTTTAATATTAAGCCAATACCTCTCAGAGCTGTAAGTGTTTACTTTATAATCTCTCCAGGTTTGCAAAACTGTGCAGAGTCCATCTCTCTGTGTTTATTATAAATACATATCTTTTTTTTTTCCTATTTGATATCCTTGAAATTGATGTCTGCGGATGATTTGATGTGATGAAACAAATAAAACAAACACAACCTGTGCTGAATATGGAAAATCGTGGGCACCGAGCTTATTTAAAATTACTTAAAGTCAAGCATCAAACTGGGTTTGAGGGATATCTCATTTTAACAGGAGCCAGAAGTCAGCTCACAACACTCATAAAGCCTCAATATATCGCCTTACACATGTCAGGAAATCCACCATTTCAATATTATTCTAAGCCTAAATGATATTTCCTTAGATGTTGGAGAAAAGTAACATATCTATTCTTTCCCTTTTCTTCCAAAGTACTCCTCTTGTGTGCTTAGAAGTGACAGAGTCAGCTCCCTGCTCAGCTGTACATAATCTGACTACGTGACACAAACATGATAAAAGATTTTCCACATGGTTGGTGTGTTTTATAAACCACTCAAGGCTTAATGGAATACATTTCTAATGTGTCATGACATTAGTAAAAACTCAAGCCGGATACTAAATCTTATGATACCTTGGACACATTCTCAAATATGTACTTTTCTTCTACTTTTTTTTTTCCTCAAACAGCACCATTGTTTAACTTTTACTCTGTGAAATCCTGCCTCTCCTGCACACTGTGCACATGCTTTAAGGCTTTTGTGGATTATCTTTCCGCTGTAATGAGACAACTGTGGCTGATGGTTGCAGGCCTAATTTCCTTTTAATTTGATTCAGATCTCTCCAGGTTTCAGCAGAGAAGTTGGCTTATTATTTGATTTGATGAGTTTCTGTTCAAAGATACCATTGCTCATCTCTCTGCTTTTCAGCTACAATCAGTTCATTTTTCACTCCTTAATTTGTATATTGTTGCCTTAGGAGCAAACAGGACTCTGTTCACTGTTTTTTTTAATAATATCCAGCAAGCCATATGTGAATGGAACTAAAGATGTAAGAGCAGCCTCAATCCAACGCACAGTTTTCACATAAAAGGACACTAATTTAGCCAATTTCTCTTGAAGACATTATTTTTTTTTGCAGATGGTTTACATGCAGTATTGGTTTAAGAAACACTTCTACTTTGTTTAATCACATTATAAGTCTGGATTTTATGAAACCGAGTGTCCTGCCAGGTCACAGGTTTTCTTTTATTTTGAAGTGTCAAAGTGTCTGCAACACAACAATCATTGTTCTTACATGATTGTTTTCATGTTTGTAATCAACTGATTAAATAATAATACAAATAAAAATAAACGTGTGTATCCTGCTGTTAAAATATAGCCTACCTTTATACTTTTATTTCACCTTTATTTAACCAGGAAAGAACGTGTTGAGATCATAAATATCTTAAGTGTCCTGGCCAAGACAGGCAGCAGCAGAATGAACAGTTTCTGACAAACAAGGAGCAGCCTGAGAATCAACCCATACTATATTTCATTGTTCATTTATTTCCCCTTCTGTTCCTCTGCATTTCTCGATCGTGTGTTAACTATAGCTTGTTTTTTTATTGCACATTATTCCAAGTGAGACAATAGAGCCTTTGAGAGTGAAAAGAATACAGCAGCAGTATCATAAAGTCAGGTGCGGAAGTAGAGAGAGAAACAGAGACGTTGCCCGGGGGGTAAAGTGTGTGCACCGGGACGAGAAAGTCGAGCGCCAAGTGACAAATGACCCGAGTCCTCATCTCACATGACATCTATGAAATCTAGAGGAAGACAAAATAGCCTCACAATCATCTGTTGTTACACGATCTGCCATTGGAAAGTGTCTTCTGCCATGTTTCAAAACTGTAAAAACCTCGAATGTTTCTTGAATGTTTTTGGGGTTTTTTTTTAGAAGTAAGTTTTTACGGTTTCATTTTTAAACATGTAACCTCGGTCAGACACCACTGAAAAGGAAGCCACATCTTTAACCTGATTATGTCCCCAGTGAGAAGTGTGTCAAAGGGAAAACAAACTATAAACAGTCATTCCCCTCTTTTTGGTCATTAATTTTGGCAAAGTGAGCCCCCCTCCAACTCGGCGAGCTTTTACAGCATCATTTGTTTTCACGCGGTGAAACCGATCAGGTCATTAAACGCCCCCTCAATAAATCTTTAGAAATCTTTTCCATTAATCCCTGAACAACAAGTGGAACCAGGCGAGTCCCCCTCACACTGTGTCAGGCCTCTGATTAAAGAGAGGCACACACACGTACACATACCAGCACACACAGCCGGCTCTCTGTATTTAAAAAGTGTGTCTGAACGCTCCTTAAGACAACACTGTCCAATGTAAGGCTTCTGTGATATTGTAGGAATCCCTATTCTTGAATAAGAGGAAGTTTTCTCAGTTTTAATAAGTAACCTGTTCTCTGTCTAAGCAAACAGTGTTTATCTGAATTTTGACCTCCAGTCATGATCAACTAAGGCAGAAAAAAACACAGCGAAGAAAATATCCTATTGGCTGAGAATGACTTTATCTAACGCAGAGGAAACTTCTTCGTTAAGAGTTTTTTTTTTCGAGTTTGGGCAAAGTGTGTGTCTGTTTGATCCCGTTTCTCGGTATTTGGGAATATATTTAAACTATAGCCTATCTAATTTATTCCGATCGATGACTAATGCATCACGCTGTCACTTGGTACTTTCTCCTAACATAATCTCTTCGAGCCTCTGGGGTTCAGGTTTAGACTTTCGTCGCTCGTTCCCCAGAGGAGGGATCCCCGAACCAAACGTGAAATAGTCCGCTCCGACTCTCCTTTGACTCTCTGGAAGTGAGCGCATGCAGCGTGTGAATGTATAATAGCTATGACTGATTTGATTATAGCTTTCACTCTGCCAGCTATTGTCGTCAACTCACGGTACAGATAGTTACAGACAGCTCTACACTGAATCATATCTGCAACAGAAAATAACATCAGCTGCGGAGCTTTACGATCAAATCCTGCCAAATGGGGGGTCTGCTGCTGTTACTGGTGGGTTTTGGGAGGAGGGATGGGTGGAGAAGGGTGGGGTCCTTGACATGAAAAAAAGTTGGGGATCCCCTGTGCTGCCACAGCCTGATAATTCAATTTTTTTTTTTTTTTTTTTTTTACTTGAGAGAGTTGTTGTCACGCTTGCTTGCTCCGGCCCTCTCTGATATGCACGCAGCCCTGCAGAAGATGAACTCTGTGCAAAGGAACCAAGTTGGAATGTCACCCCTGTGACAGCCCCCCTCACACACACACACTGAAACACACACACACTCTCCTCTTCAGCACTCCTCCAGCGGATCACTGTCAGATCACTATTTGCATAATTATATGCTCAGCTCAGAAGAGAAAACTAACCCCCAAATTTTACGGGTCAACTAACTGCAACAATCAATGTTTTATCGGGTATACTAAGGGAAAAATGTCTTTTGCAATCACGGCGGAGGAAACTCTACTACTCCCCACTCTCCACTTCTTTATGAGTTCAATTCAATTACTTTATTGGCATGACTGCTTATCAGAAACAATATTTCCAAAGCAGTTTAAACAATGGAAATTCACTCCCCACCCTTGCGTCAAAGAGGACCCAAGCAAGTCCTCTCTCTCTCTCGCTATCTCTCTCTCTCTCTCTCTCTCTTTTCTCTCTTTTCTCTCTTTCTCTCTCAGTACGTGAGCAAACACTTTTTCATCTATTGAAAGAGAAAGAATGTCTGGCTTACGCTTGGAGGTGCATTCAAGATTGTATCCCTTCTTTTTCTGACCCATTTTTTCTCTGCCGACTCTAGTCCACATATATAGCCTATACTGTGTTTTCCTCCACAGAATAGCTATTTAATACAAGGCCTATATAGCAGAGCCCAAAACTCAGTGGCCTGGGTTTACATCATTACATATTCATTGACTTGCGGAGAAACCATTTAATCCAGTGGAAACAACTCCTCTTCAATCGCCTCTCTCTCTCATTCCCTATTCTAATAAAGACTCACACACTGATACGACAACACTTCGAGGCCACAGAAAACACATTTAGGAAAGGGTTTGACTGTGTTTTATTTTGAAGGTCAAGAAAGCCAACACCTGTCTGGACACAGGTGTTCCACCAAGTAGGGTGCTGGGCCTCTTAAAGGTTGTGAAAGTCTCCCAAACAAGCATGCAAATGTATACTTTATTTTAATATAGATTTTAATGAGATGGCATCGTACTGCTATTCCAACTGCAAAGGAAAAAAAACATTATTATGGTGTACTGCTTCAAAAATAAAACATGTAAGAATAAGCAGGCCTGGTCACATAAACCTTGCTCCCACTTGTCTTATAGTTCTTAAAAAATAGGACCATACCATTGAGCTATAGCCTTCTTAGATCCAAGTAAAACAGAACTTCCCCATGGTTATCATGAGGAGAGAAAGAGATTAAAAAATGCCTTCGAGACCAAAATGACAAAGAAACACAACCAGGTTGAAGTCATCGAACATAACACGAATATTAGCGGCATATTCTTTGTTTTCTTTTCTCGGCTCTGCTGTCTTATTCTTCTAAGTAGCCTCTACATCAGCGGCAGGGTCTATAATGTGTGTGTGTGCTGATCCTGGCATATAATACTCCGATTGTGGGACAGCTGTTGGCAGGGCCGTTTTACGGTGTTCAGTCCATTTGGCTTTAATAGCAGCTTTCAGGCGGACCGCTACTCTATCCCCTCACCGCCCCCTCAATTACACCTCCTCTGATACTCTGCTGGCCTAAAGACTCGTGCAGTAAAAAAAAGGGAAAAAAAGCTGCCTCTGAAATGCAATCCATGTGAAGAATGGGCACTGACTTTTAAGATTTTGGGGGCTATACTCTGAAGATTTCAGGGAAGCAGGGAAGTTAGGCCAGCAGTGATGGAGGAGAGAGGAGAGGAAGTGTAACACAGCTCATTGGCCCAGTTTAACAGGCCAGCGAAGACTTAGGGGGGAAAATTGGTCATTTAGTGTTGATGAATGGCAGTGAGGATGAAGGGGCTCTGTTAGGCCTGTGATCGGGGCCTTTCTCAGGCTGTAAAATGCGACCGGATATCTGAAAACTGAACGCCAATAATGTGTTTTTAACACTGTTATATGTCAAATTCAAAATATCAGTTTGACAAATTACAATTTTTATTACGCACGTGTTTGTG